GTTTACTATTTACTTTGTTTTTGCTTTTGTTGGTTGGCTGACCTGCTGAATTGTATTGTTCTTGAAATGTATTGTTATTGTTCTACTATTTTGTTATTACATTGTATTTTAATCTTGTAAACTGTTCTGAAAGCCAAAGTGGCTATTTAGGATGGTATACAAAAGCATGTATAGATTAATAAATACATAAATAAATAACGTATAACCGATACATATGAAATGTTTGTCTATGTGTATACATATAGCTATCAATACAAACAGTTCTTGAACTTGCCTTCAAGAAAGACAAATCAAATATCCATATATTTATTCCCTTCTAAATACCATTTGTTCAAATGTTCCTCATTAGGTCCTCAATCTATTGTGGGTGGGTGTTTATCCTTCGAAACTTAACATCAGCTTTTCCAATGTCGAGAGTACGGACAACCCATTTCTGCTGACCACTGGTTAATTTCCATGAAGCAGGTAAATAATTTAAAAGAGCATTTCCAGGGCATCATGTCATGATGAGTGGTTACATTCATCCATCAGAGCTGGATGTCATAGATTATCCAGTTGCACACAGTACAACTACTATACTAGTTGTTACAAAAGTGCTAGCCATGCAAAACAACAAGGGAACCAGCTGTGTTTTGGGGGATGACTTAATGCAAGAAACTACATAAAGCAAGGGAAACTGATGGAAGATTAACTCTCTCTGGGACCTAGATGTCAGAGTTTTTTTAGTGCCTTCCTTTTATACAAAGTTTGAGACCTCCTGTTTTACAATAGTACAAGATTATGTTTCTTTTTGATGAGCAATGATGGAGAACTTGTGGTCCTTTCGGCATTGGTGGCATGCAACTACTTGGAGTTGATAGGAGTTGGAGTCTGAACTGTGGAGGTTCCATACTGCTGTTGATGAGAATGGAGGACATGGTCCAGTGGAAATTAATAAGTCACAACTTAACTACCACCTGTGCCATTGCTCAAAAAATACTACAGCTACCGTATGTGCCAAGGATTTATTCACACAACACATTCTTGGGTGATAAAGCAGCTTCACATCTGCACAACTGCACAGAGTTTCTCAGCGAAGCCTGAATAAATCAAATGAGTCAAAACACCAACATATATTTCTGTATGTGACATTAGGAAATATTTCCTTAAGACACCAATATTTGTAACACTGAAGATTGTGATCAATTGACAAGTAGCTGATGTTTACCTACAGGCTATCTGAGGAACAAGCTACAACTAAAGAATTTTATTTGAAAAAAACCAGTGGTAATTTCACTGCATCTTCATTCCAGCAACATGGGACTCATATTATAAAACTGCATTGTCAGCATTGGCTATGCTCTGCACTAGAAATACAGAAAAAATCTGAAGTTCAAACTATAGGTGACATTTTAATTTCTGTGATAGTTAGATATCAACAGTTCTGAGTTAGATATCAACGGCTCCATTCAACTTGAGCAATCACTGTTGTGATTGTTTATATGCTACATGCAAAATGCAGCATATAAAAATGACATGCTTATCTGTAGTACAGCTTCATAATTCTGTAGTTAAACAGGCTAGCTATTTGCTAGTTAACAAATCTGCTCCATAAGTGTGCTGATACTATGGCTTTTATCAGGAGTCTTGTGCTAGTTCACACTTGTCAGGTTGATTGTGATTCAGGAAATTGAAAGCGCTTTCCAGCAAAGAGGACAATCACCAGTGACTCTGGGTTCAGTCACATACTATTTTCATCACATGTCACTGTAAGAAAGATGCCCCAGGAGGGGATGATACAAAGAATTATGCACTAATGACACACAACAGGCATAAAGAGAGTTGACCTAAGGAACTGTCTTGGCATTTGACCAGCTTGGCAAACCTGTTATCTAGATACTAAATCCATGCAGTTTGTTCCCTGATAAAAAATGCCTCCTGCCTATACAATCTTGTGAGAAAAAAATCTACCCTGCTGGTGAAAAACAAGTAGGAAGATATTTATATCTACTGGTTTAAATCATGTTATCTATATTAATCCCCCCCCCGCCCCAATAGACTACTGCATTGTTGTAGGTTTACCTAGCAATTTAACAGCTTCTTTCTAGGCTGCCACTGTATATGTCTTTCGTCTTCAGAGAGGAAACAACAGCAACAGCAATATTTTTTTTTTCTGTGCTGGTCAAGCAAATCTCCCTGGGTTCTTTACAACACTTTATACAAAAAAATCCAAAATATAAAAACTGTAAAACACATTAAAAGTACAGAAAATATATAATACTGAGTAGACCTACAGAACCTAGGATGTATACTCCCCTAAAGCCAGTAAATATTCTTGGATTCCTATTTTCCCTTGTTGTCAGAACTAAGCCCTAGACCAGACTTCCCAAACTTGAAGTGCTCGGCCAGCATGGCCACTGTTGTACACAAAACATGTGGTGAACATCAGACTGAGGAAGGCTGGCCTAGATTGTGCAGAGTAGGTGCAACTATGGTGTACCTACACAAAAACCTGAAGCAGCCTGCACAAGCATAGGCTGGGGTCCTCATTTGCCTCTGTAGACCAGTAGTGGCAGGTGCTGAGTACTCTGGTCCTGCTCCGTGGTTGCTGCTCAGTGTGGCAAAACAGCATTAGAAAGTCCTGCACTACAGTACTGGAATACAGCCTTCTGCCTCCAGGAGGATTCCTAGATCGTCATCAGGATTTTAAATAGGGAGATTTTTAAAGAACAAAAACACCCAGCAGTTGGATTTTACATTCCCTTTTTACATATTTTCCACTCATTTCAAGGGGGCTTTCTCTCAAGGAAGCGTGTGTGGGACTTCAGCCCCAGCCATTCACTTTCCAACACAATATTCATGATCAGTACATAAGAATACAGCTAAACTTGGAGACTTTAGAATGGAAGCGACAGAATCAGGAGATGGCCTGTCAGTCAGCAATCCTGTCTAAATACTTAATGAACTGCTAATGTAATTAGCAAACGTTTTTAAATGTCACAATAAAAGGTTTAGTTCCATATTGCTTGGAAACAAAGATGCCATCCTTGCTTTAGAAGCATAAAGACATGCATTTTTGAAAGGTCAGAATGTAAGCCTGAAGGACGTCAGTCATATCCATCAATATCCTGGAGCGGATTGCATGTCCCACAGTTCAGAGCACTTCAGCACCATTAATGACCTCCCACTGATTGCAGCAATGCTGCCTTTACCCTTTGCAGTGTAGTTTATACTTTTCCTTTTTTGTTAGCCCCTTCAACCTTCAGGAAAGATGGCATATACACAGTTTTAATTAATTAATCAATCAGTTAGTATGCATACACAAAGACATTCAGTGACATAGTAAACACTCCCTGTTGTTTTTTAGCTTATCCAGAACATATAAACATAAGCCTGCAAGTCTAGAGCATGGGTCCTCAAACTACAGCCTGCGGGACACATCCAGCCCGCCTAGGCCATCCATCTGAGATGGTCTCCGAACGAGCAAGCTGCCACCGCCTGCCTCCCGTACGCGTGCGCTTGGAGATGGTCTCTGAATGAGCAAGCCGCCACCTGCCTCCCATATGCATGTGCTCGCCGCTGCCTCACAGCACGGGTGGGGAGGTGGTGGCTCACTCACTTGGAGATGGTTTTGGACTCGCTGGGAGATCTCCGAGCGAGCGAGCCACCACCGCGCATGCCCGATGCTGCCTCTCGCACGTGCCCGACGGCACCTCACCAGTCCACGCCCCCAGGCACCTCCACCCTCACCGGCCTATGATGATCACTGCAGCCTTTCAACTGGCCCCCTATTCAAAAAGTTTGAGGACCCCTGGTCTAGAGGAACCTAATAAAATGAAGCTCGTTGAGATCAAATGACGCTTGGCAAACTGACATGACTGTGACCTTGAGACAGGCCTGGTGCAGGACTGTAAATAAAAAAGAGGACAAACAGGGTTCACTGACTGTTTTTAGATTTTGATAAAGCTTTTGCTACAATCTGTGCAATAGAGTAAATACTCGTCAGTTTCCTGAGCATTAGCCACCTTAACCTGCTGCAGCAGGTACAAAGTTTTGTTACATGTTAAACAGCAGAAATGTGTTTTGCAATAAGCTTTTGCAAACTACTGTCCACCTCATCAGATATTCAGTAGCCACCTTGATGTCAAATAGCTGGTTGGGATTGGAGTCAAGTCAAAATCTTGGCTTTCAAGTATGTGCCTTACACTTTGAAGTGCGCTCGTGTAACACGGCACTTAGCTCATAAGAAACCTTTTTGCAGATGTATAAAGAAAAAGACAAAATAACAATAATTGCTACAAGTTTGGCACCAGTATAGAATCTGATTTTACATGTTTACTTCATTATTTATCCACATTTTTTAGTATAAAATAGTCTGGCTAGCAATGCAAAATGAATTAATTCAAAGACAAAACAAGCAAACTCAAGTTGTTAAAACAAAAGCCATGAATCTCAAATAGACAATGCTTGTTAAGAATCTCAGAACAATGTTTGGCACCTGAGCTTTGTTGGGAACAATCAGAATAGATTCCCAACAGAACAAATGTGTCTTCACCACCCATTGAAAGACCTTCATCAGGGAAGCAGCCTTGGAGACATCCCAGAAAAGGCTGTGTTCCCTGTGTCTACCTGCTATACTGCTGCCAACAAAAAGAGAATTGAACAGGGTCTCTGGTGGTAGGTAGCAGCTCTTAAAGTACCCCAGTCCTAGGCCATTTAAAACCTCTGAAAGGTTAAAAACCAGAACTTGGAATGCTTCCCAGAAGCAAACTGGCAGCTGAATGAAGATAACATAGTGTCATAGTGACATGTTCAACCCTGTGTGTTCAACAACCTGGAAGCTGCTTCATATTCCACTCAACATGCAAAGACATTACAAATATCTAATTCAAATTCCAGAGGACAAAATGCAACTTGCATGCTGCTGGGCAGCTCCGTATTCCTTTGTGCGTTATATTGGCCAAGGTGCCTAGGGCAGTCTCTGGAACTATAAAAGGTTCATGGTATAATAAAATCATTACCTTTTTGAAAAGTCGTCCAGAATCTTCACTGACTTGAACAAACCGAGGGATGATGTTGTTCAGGTAGATGTCACTCAAGGTGGTATGGTCCCTGCTTTCCCGCTTCACCTGATTTAAGAGTAGATTCCAGCAATTGACAGGGGAAAGAACATTCTGATCCTTCCTGCAAGGAAAGGAGATTCACAATATGATTCTTCTGCACACATTTTGGATGAGCAGTTTCTGCTGCCTCCCAGTCTCCTAACCATCTGGAGAAGATGCTACAGGTACCAGAAGATGGAATTACTCCTTTTACTTTCCACTGACAGATGCTGTCCTGTTGAAGAATGGTTCAAGTGAATACAACCCAAAGTTCTGGTAGCAGAGGTGAATAAGATGTAATGTCTTAAAACAATATACTATTTTGACACACTGAATGTTTCAAATGCAAATATTAAGGTAGTTATTAGATGAGGCAGAACAATACCATGCAAAATATTCTCTATAGGCTTCACAGTACTAGCAATCTTGAGAATTCTTACTAGTTCATTATGATTTATTTATGTAAGGGTAAACTCAGATGCTTTGAAAGGTAAAGAAGTAAAAATATAGGGGAACAAATAAAATGTTCCCCTGCTATTGGTTGTTGTTGCAGAATGTTTGTCTTCAGAAATCATTAGTCTTCCTTTTGGTTTTGCCAGTAATTGTTCTTTCCGACATGGAATGAGAATTGGTTATCAACCAGATTGTGTCTGTAATTATTTCTAGTGGTATGATATGCAATGAGGAAGTTACAGGCCTACAATCTGATGAACCTATGAACTAGAGCTGCAAACTTTTCAGAACATGGCCATGTTTACTTCCCTTCAGAGCAGCCATGATGATCATCCCATGACAGGATGTTACATTAATACTCAGTTACCATTTGTTCTGAAAGCAAAGTAGCTACATCAATAGCAGAACTTTTAACAAGAAGTTAATGTCCAACACAGTTGTCTCCGAACTGTATAAATAACTTCAATGTGATCTTTTTGGTCCATAAAGTCAATATATGATTTCTCTTCTCAATCCCACCCCAAGTCTCTACACAGGGGGAAAAAATGAAGATGAAGGCTGCAAATGCCTATGTCCAACTAGCTGGGAGTAGCCCTCATTTAATTAATCAGGCACATCATATAGGACTGAACAGTAAGAGAATTTACATCTTTTACTTTAACAGATAATGAAAGAATGGGTTAAATTCAGTGGTTTTCTCTTTTGAAAATGGAACATTACAGAAATAGCTATCTGTCCAGACTGAGTTGTGATTTCAAATTATGCAAACTGCAGTTTAGCGTGGGTGATATAATAAGGAATGTTTTGAATAAAGATTATCTATTTATGGTTTTTATCAGTTTTAAAACATTCACTCAATAGTAACCTTTCCTCTATATACTGACCCCAGAGAGAGATTCTTGAAACCCTTGATATCATATGGATGTATGAATGCATTGGCAGAAACAGGTTTTATTCCCTTTTGAGTGATTTTAATAGTTATGTAATACATAAATTTACTTTGTTTGCTTTAGCAGCAAAAAAGATCAGGAAGGGAGAATTAGCCAAAACTGCTACAAACTACATTTGAAATTCAGAGTTAAGGGTTAGGGTAAAGATTAATTTCTGCTCATAATAAATTTTAATATATTTATATTTTATATTGTTTGATTTTTTTCATTCTGTTGTCTATGGGTATATAGTTGATATATTTGTCATGGCATCTGGCTAATACAATAAACTTTGAACTGGAACACTGCTGTTATAAACCACCCAGAGAGCTTTGGCTTCAGGTGGTATAGAAATTAAAACCGGTGGTGGTGGTGGTGGTTGTGGTGGTAGGACTGGAAACAGTTGATCCCTGCCCACCCCTGCGGGAAAAATAGGTGGCCACTTGTCTGGAGACTCACCAAGGCAGAGATTTATTGAGGCCTGGCAGGTTTTACTTCTGTAAGTTGCTGTGATCTTATCTGCTGTGGTCAACATCTATGCTAAGAGATGTCCGTGCTAAGCTGTGCTAAAACTGTGCTAAGAGAGCATTCATTTAGAGGTTTCATTTTTCAGGGCTGCCTCCCATTTGTAGAACTCCTTTGTTCCATGTACTAGCCATAATCTGAGCAGTTTCTGCAAGTCTTTATGATTTTTGGTAGCTGCCATTAAATTGGAATGGGATCACCTTAACTTGATGCACCATTTTTAAATGGAAATATTATTTTGTTATTTTAATTGTTGTTGTTTTTACCATTAACTGAGCCTTCAATATTGGTTTGAAGTCTGAAAGACCCAAAACAACTAAATCAGGTATTACACACTAGAAATATATGCCACATGCTGCCCACCTTATCACAAGAGAAGCAATTCTAACAGCATAAGGGCTGTACTCGTTGAATCTGGTAGTCAGATCCTAAACAAGAGTTAAAATCCAATGATACACTAATGCAGCTTTTCTCAACCAAGTGCCTGTCAGATGTCTGGATAATAACTCCCATCATTCCTTACTATTGGGGCTGATGGGACTAGAAGTTCAAAATGGGTCGGGGAAGGCTGCACAAGTTAAAGTTTGCTAGTATGAAGTTCTTCCACCCCTTCTTCTCCTCTGCAGCAATGTTCGCCTGCTGAAAATCTCCTCTAAGGGGTTTCTCATCCCTGCAGAGTATATTTTGATGGTGCAGGGAAGTTGCCCAGGGGAAGGAAGGATTGCCTTCTTCCCAGTTGCACTGATGGAACTCTTCAGTCAGTGCAATGACACAGCTGGATTGATTCCTTAAAGCACAATCTACTCAGAAGGTCACCTGTAAGCTCCAGTGAACTGAATGGAATGGTGCAATAGTACAATTTCCATTAATTTAAAAGAGGCTTTCACCAGAGACCTTCCCCAGGGGACTGTGACTCTCACATTAACTTGGCTGGATTACTTTGTTTCCTTTTATCATTCATTTACATGTGTTCTTTTTTTCCCACTGTATTGTGTAATGCTTGGAAGGAGCAATAATAAAATATTTTTAAAACCAGGCTATGCCAGGAATGTATTCAACAGCTGTAGAATTCACTTTAAAGCTCATCTGGAGTTAAACAAAGGATTTCCCCCCACCCTGGCTTTCTTCCCTAAAGAAAGCCATGCGATATCCTTCCCTTAAAAGTGCAGAGGCAGGAAGAATTGGGCATCAACATGGGAAGATGAGATTATCAAGTAGGCTGATTCATGCTAAAGATCATGCTGATAGTTGACTTTACACACCATCACTGGTTTACTGCTGTGTTGCTTCTGGCAAACTGAAATTTGAAGCACATTTGTTGGGTTGCCACCTGTCCCTGGTTTACTAAGAAAATCCTTCCAGTTATGTACCAATAATACAATAAAGTGATACTCTGATGACTAAAAGCAAAGGAGGAGCCGACCAGTGTCAGTCCAATGGTTACAAACACAAGATTAAAGTATAACATTCTTATTTTTAGATCAGATATGCATGAGTTACCTCTTGAACTTCTAATTTAGCAGTTCCAAATGATCCTGCCTTTCCCAACCTAGTGCCCTCTGCATTTTGACCACTGGCCATGCTACCTACCCAATTTGGTGGATACCAGGTTGGGAAATGCAGGTTATGACGACTCTGCATTTATTTTGGGCAGATGGAAACCTAGAATTTAGAGAAGCAAGTGGAGAATGGCACATGATATATTTCCAGTCCAGTCATGGGAAGACCTAATGTATATGCTGCTAACATATACAGTAGTGGAGGAAGCGTAACTCTCAAGTCTACAGTATCTGAACTAAAATGGCATGGAAGAGGGATTAAACTGTTGGACCTGGCCCTTAAGTCCTGGATCAAGACCCACTTAATTATGAATCTGACTCATAACCTTGGGCAACCTAGCTTTAAAAGGGAAGTTGCAATGGTTAAATGAGAAAGGGGGAAGAGAACTACGTATCTTTCCCTCAACTTCTTGAAACACTCCTCATTTGAACTTCTGCATGTCCCAAACCAGCACAAATCATAAGATACATACTAACTCACATACTGTGGCCTCAGTCCTTCTATCAACTGCACAGAAAAACCAGCTTTAGAGATACTCATTATGAACTTGCCTATTTTGCTTCAAATTTCAGTTTTGAAGGTTTTGCTGCTAAACTGTCCTAGAAATGTTAGGAACACAGATTACTATTGACTTTTATTGTTGTTCCCACTGGATGAAGACAGAGTGAGAAAGAATGGATCTGTAGTAAGAAAGGAGTTAGCTTCAGTTAAACAAAAGAGTTGAACTCAAGAATGCCATTTTCAAAGCAGCTGATATGGCGGAGTTTTTTGCCCTGTGAAAAATATCACAGGAAATGACTGATCCAGATTGCTTCAAGTGAGAGAATTGGAGTGATTAAGAGCTACTACTAGCTTTGATTGCCAAAAAGAAGCAGTACATACAAGCGCGGGGGGGGGGGGGGGGGGGAGATACACTCTTATTTTCTGGATGGCTACAAGCAAAAGCCAACAAAAAGATCAAAAGGCAACACACCCTGAACTTGACAATAAGCTAGCAATGGAAACAAACATTCCCTCTCCTTTACATGTGTATATAAAAATAGCAAAGGGGATGCCAGACTATTTATTCTCTTTCATAATATTTACAGGCCACCTGGCTATGGGTTTTCAAATGACCTTATAAAGCATGTGGCTAATGTTTTCTAATACAGACAATGGTCAGGATCTGATTTAGCTGTTCCACTGTCACAGAATTAGGCAGCCCAGCACTATACAATCAAGTACTAAGGAACACCAGAGAGACCTCAGACATTGCCTACAGGCTACCAACTTTCAAACTGTGCCCCCCCCCCCCGGTATAAATTAATAGAAGGGCCACTAATCTTAAACAGGTAGCTTGCAATTTGTCTACAAAATTTAATAAAATATTATTTTAGGTTATATTTAGGCTGCCTTGAAGGGTGGGAACCCTCCCTCCAAAGCATCGAAGATAATTAAAAGCAGACTGCACCAAACAACATTCAGTAGAAACAAGTAAAACTAGCTGCCCCCAAATTAAGAAAAGGTTGGCATACACAATACCTGTACGAATGGCCTGATGAACCTCCACTGGGGGATGGTTTCAAAGCCGTATGCTTACCAAAAAGACCCTCTTCCTTGTGCTCATCAACCTAAA